TTCCAATGACTATTTCAGATACGTACTTGAGCAGTTTCCTTTAAAGTTTACTTCTTTAGAAGCTTCCTAATTTAAATAGTCAAATAAAATTTCTCAAATTTTCCTCAAAGTCTGATTACACTTATTTTCTGGAACATAGGAAACAAAGATCATGGGACAGCTTATCTCACTGGTGTTCACATTCACTGCCCCAAATTAGAACCAAGTCATTGCTTAGTCTTCTGTGAGAAACTGGCTTGAGTCCCTGCTTCAACATACACTAGTTCTGTGATTTGAGGGAAATAATTCAAAATGATCATCAGGTTTTCGTTTGTAAGACAGGATCAACAATACCAACCCACCTCATGGGGTTCAGGGAGGCTTAAATAAGACCAAGGTAGAGGGGCACCTGGCTGGCTCAGTCAGTACAGCATGTGACTCTTGATCTTGGGGTTGTGAGTTCAAGCCCCACGTTGGGCATAGAGCTTATTTTAAAAACAAACAAACAAACAAACAAACAAACAAACAAAAAAACATAGGCTAACCAACAACATATTGTAGGCACCAAATAAATGGTAGCTACTCACATGAGAGCACTTGCAGTGCTGATACAGTTTTATTTTGTGAACTAGGTAATGTTATATGGACATTCAATTAATCATTATTGGACTTCATGGATCTCCACAATTATACTTCACAATAAAAAAAGAAAGAAAGGGTAGCTATTTTAGTGTTATTTAAATGTTAATTTATGTGATGGTCCCTTATGCTTTACCAGAGTCCCTAATTACAAAGTCTACTTGGTAGATTGCATAAAAGCAGAGTAGTTCCATTTTGTAGTAAACTGGTGACTTTCCAATACCTGTTGCAGGAGGAAGCGAACTACACTGGGCCTCATGGTTGTTAAACTCCCTTCTGCTCATGGTCCATAGAGATGCTGCAAGAATTGAGGAAGGTAGAAAAAATTCATTGGTGGCCACCCTCCTTGAACTAAAGTAGTTCTGCTCCTATCTGTTTTATACACACAGGGCTCCCATTTTTCTGAGGATATATGGTGAAAGGAAAGTTTGAAAACCACAGATTACATATTCAGAACTAGGGTTTTATCATTTCAGTGCCCAAGCCCTGGTAAACTGATTTACATGACAACTGTCATAAGGGAAACACTAGGCAATTCTTATCCTTTTGGCATGTCTTTAAATTCCTTTTCAAGTGATATACATTCTGCTTCTATAGAATAGTTTTATAGTTCAGTGTATTTACTGTTAATGTTGCGATAGTTTGGTTGCTTCCTAATGACTGCGAAGGTGGATTCGGATTCTACTCATGACAATTCCAAAATCACAAAAGGTATTTGAATGCTTCCTGTTAAAGTACAGGCATATGAAATCTCTAGTTTGCAAATGAATGTCCTGTATGTAACCATTCCTCTTTGATATTACATTTTTTCCACTTTCCAAGTTAATCCATTTAGTTTGGGACTTTTTCTACCAACTACTCATTTTTTTGCTCTATAAACAGCAAAGGAACAGATAAAGAAATCTTGACAAATAATGTTCATTGCAGGTAATAATCCTTTTTTTTTTTTGAGAAACAGAAAAGTAGAGAGAGGTTAAAGCTGGGAATACAGAAAGCAAAGTAAAAATGAATGGCTCTATCTGGATTACAACCAAGGTGCATTCAAGAAAGCCAGGGAGGGGTACCTGGGTGGCTCAGATGGTTAAGCGTCTGCCTTCGGCTCGGGTCATGATCCCGGGGTCCTGGGATCGAGTCCCGCATCGGGTTCCCTGCTGGGCGGGGAGCCTGCTTCTCCCTCTGCTTCTCTCTCTCTCTCTCTCCCTCTCTCTCTCTCCTCCTCTGTCCCTCATGAATAAATAAATAAAATCTTTAAAAAAAAAAAAAAGAAAGCCAGGGAAATGTGAAATTTCTACCAATATCTTTCTTGTGGAGTAGGGGGGAAATTAATGGGCTTGACAACCCCTGCACCTCTCTATTTTTGTTTAAATGGTAAAAAGCTACAAAGAGCATTTCTATTCATTAACTACATTAAATATATTTTTTTAAAGTCATGGCTGAAATGGATACCCAGAGATGTGCCAGTGAAGTGAGTCAATGTAGGACTTTAGCACAATTTTTGAGGAAAAAGTCTACAAATTCCCCTTAAGCTACAATACAATTGTAGGACTGACCTGGTTCCCAGTTGATGCTGGCTTTGGTTACCTTCTCACTGCCATTACTCGGGGATCTAAACAGCAAGGAGAAATGTGTACCAAAAAAAGCTGCACTTGGTAGGAAAAACGATGGTCCTTTCATACATAAATTGGAGCAGGCTTTTTATATGTATTTTATATAGACATGTATATACATGTGTATATGTATATAGTACATATAAAAAGCCTTGGGGGGGGCGCCTGGGTGGCAAATTACACTTATCCTTATGACAATAACCCTAGCCAATGGAAGCAGTGGCAGGCCCCCAAAATTTGGGTTAAAAATTCATGACACCAGGGCGCCTGGGTGGCTCAGTTGGTTAAGCGACTGCCTTCGGCTCAGGTCATGATCCTGGAGTCCCGGGATCGAGTCCCACATCGGGCTTCCTGCTCAGCAGGGAGTCTGCTTCTCCCTCTGACCCTCTTCCCTCTCGTGCTTTCTCTCATTCTCTCTCTCTCTCTCAAATAAAATCTTTAAAAAAAAAAAAAATAAAAATTCATGACACCATTCTTCAAAGTCAACTAACTTTACCATTAAAAAATCCTGACTTTAGCACCATCGAGAAAAATCAGTTTTAGAACATCATCTCACCTCAATCTAAGGATGAAATTCAGTTATTTCCCATCTTGATAATTTATTCACTCAGTGCAAGTGAGCAAGAGCATGAACAGGGGGTAGGGTCAGAGGGAGAGGTAGAAGCAGACTCCAGAAGCAGGCTCCTTGCTCAGGGAGCCCAATGCAGGGCTCAATCCTAGGGCCTTGGGATTATGACCTGAGCCAAATGCAGACACTTAACCGAGCCATCCAGGCACCCCTTTAGGGCTTTCTTTAAAAACAAATTGCAGGAGCGCCTGGCTGGCTCAGTTGGTTAAGCGTCTGCCTTCAGCTCAGGTCATGATCTTCGGTTCTGGGATACAGCCCCACATTGGGCTCCCTACTCCTCCAGGAGCCTGCTACTCCCCTCACCTCTCCCCCTGCTTGTGCTCTAATAAATAAAATCTTAAAAAATAATAAAAAAAAAAAATTCAGTTGTACCCATAAGGGCTAATTCCCCAGTTGAGGATATTCAAGACATGCAAGTAAAAGGAGAAGGATTAAGAAACAGAAGAGTTCCTGGTGCACCTGGGTGGCTCAATTGTTAAGCGTCTGCCTTCAGCTCAGGTCATGATCCCAGGGTCCTAGGATCGAGCCCCGCATCGGGCTCCCTGCTCTGAGGGGAAGCCTGCTTCTCCCTCTCCCCCTGCTTGTGTTCCCTCTCTCGCTGTGTCAAATAAATAAAATCTTTAAAAAAAAGAAACAGAAGAGTTCCTGATGTGACTCATTCCAAGGAAATGAGGCTTTGGAAAGATGTTCTGTCACTTGATACAACTGGTAGAAAACTAGACTGGGGGACTTTTAGAAATGTTAGCATTTAGAGAAATGAGAAAGGTAACACAGTAAGAGCTTGTGCTGTGCAATCAGTTATGGGTGGGAATGCATTCTTTGACCAAATTACTTTGTTTCAACTGAAGAAATGGCCAAATGAGAAGAGTTACTCATAAAGTTGTGAGGAAATGAGAATACACACATAGGCAATTAATGAACTACAGTATATTGCACTGTACTGGACAGTTTAAATGTATTATCTCCTTTAATCCTCATTGCTCTTTGAAACAGCCATTAGTCCTATATTACAGGTGGAAGTCAATATTCTGTATTACAGATGAAGGTTAAATTCCCAAAGGGAGCCAAGATTCTATCTCAAGAACAACAGATTCCTACCCAAAGCTTGTTTTCTTCTGCACTATACTATCCTGAACGATTGTAAAATATGCATTTCTCTCATATTAGGGATTCTTTACATTTTTGTTATTTTATAAGCTTTTAATAAGGCCATAGCAAATAAATGTTTATAAATTAAACGATGTTTTTACACTAAGCAACTTCCAATTCTACCCTATCAAAAAGTTACTATAATTTAAAATACACTAACTTGAAACAAGCCAATTTAGGAAATTAGCAAACCACCTAAATTAGAAACGTTACAGAAATTTATCCTTTGTAGTATTTGGCTCACTTTCCTGGGAATCATTGTCCCACAAAATAACACATTCCAAGACTTAGGAAAGTAATCAGAAGTGCTTTCATAACATTCATGTTATTGCTTCTCACAACATATAAAGGCAACCCATTTACAGAATATGGACTTTGGTATCTAACTGAAACATCCTCAAAACTGAATCATTAATATCTGGTAAAACGAAAGCTGACCCTTTCAAGTACGTATCCTTGTCTAGTTCTAGAATGTAAAATAGAAGTATCCTCTGCATACTTAAAATTGTGCTACTTATGTTCAATTTTCCTATTCCAATACAACTAGCATATAAAAAGGTCATTTCTTCTTTTTTCTCTATACATCATTGCCATCACTGCTCAATGTGCAGCAGCTGGACAAAAGAAAGGCCATCAAGAGAACATTTTGGGCCAGAGTTTGGAGAAAAACGAAACAGAATATACAATAGAGTAATAGTCGGAATCACCTAACAGACACAGGATTCCATTTCATTACTAACAAATGTAATTCAACTGAACAAGCTCATTCAAGCTGCACGTGGTTCTCCACTGTTCCCAGTATTTGTCTAGATTTGTAAATTAAAAAAACCATCTAGTTCAACTAGTTCTACATTTGCAAACTGGAACTTCTCTATCCATAAAAAGTTGTCTATCAGCTATGAAAAAATTACCTGATTGTAATTTATAATGACCAGTAGTGGGAAGCCCATTTGCAGGAATTGGTTCTGACTTAGAGGGGGGAAAAAAAACACGACTTCTTGAAAAGGTAAAATAGCTTAAAGCATTTAATATCTAAACAAATCAATCTATTAATAGTAGTCACAAAATATGCTTAATATAGAAACCCACATTTATGTCTTTAAGAAAAAGTGTAAATTGTATTTTACCTCAAACATAAATTAACCCACTTAAAGAATCTGCAGCGGTCAAAATCATGGTGAATTTTAAACAACTTCAGAATAAAATAACCTTAAGTACTTTATACTGCTTTATATCTAAAAAATGCTTACAACTTCTCATAAAAATAGTCTGAGGCAACTATTTTTTCTTTTATTCCTTAACAGACATGTTCAACAATATGGGCAACATTCTTAAAACCTTAAGCTTCACAGACTTTCAGACATTCAAATACTATGGTCCCCTTTTCTTTGATGTGAGGTTTATTCAGCTAGGAAAAAAAAAAAGCATGGTAGACAATTTAATACATTTTCACCAAATTCAAAGTAGTACAAAAGTTTTAAGATTCTACAGAACTACACATCGTACCTAATGGATCATTAAAAATAGAAGACAGTATTTTCTTCAGCAAATAAAACAGCATACTGGTATGCTGTTAATGCATACTTTTTAATATGTACTGTCATTCATAAATTATTTACAACTTCTACTGTGTGAAGAGAACTAGAATGTAAATTTTCTGCAAAACTGGAAAAAAGCAATACAAAATTTGTGAAAGCCTGTGTTTTATATTATACAAAAGTATGCCAGTTTTTCACTTCAAATACCAGACATGATATGCAGTGGTATTTTGGACATATTATAATAACTCTTGAGGATGTTTTAATGCTGGCGGTAAGTTTACAGGCCTTGACTCTTCATCAAGGAGGACCAGATCTTCTATTTCACTGCCTCTGTATTTCCTTTTACATATCTTTACCACTACCTTCTTCTTGAGAAATAACTTCAGTGCTTCTCTTGATGCAACAGCTTTTGCATTTTCTTTGCTTTTTCCACAGCCAGTGCCCAAATACACAGACTTGCATCTCAATTCACAAACAATACTTTCTTGAGAGCTTTTATTTTGAGGCAGATCTGCTAGTTCTTTTAGCGGAACAAAAAACACATCCAGTGTTGCCTTCAGAGCTTCAATAGCTGCATTCAGGAGCTCGCCATGATTCACACTGGGACTAAAGCCACCAACAGCTACCAACTTCCATGCCACCGTCTTATACAGTCTGTTGAAAAAAGGTTGTTTCTGTTTCACGTCTTCATTGGTTAACTTGCAACAAGAAAATCTGACAGAACTCTCACTTGACTGTGAAGTACTTTTAGAAGGCAACTGTGAGGTGCTAGTCTGAGAACTACTCTTAGAAGCCAGCTGGGACACACTGGCTAAGGAAGTGCTTTTGGAAACTACAGATCCACTGGTTTGGGAGCTGCTCTTGGAGGCTAACAGTGACGCAGCTACCTGCGAAGTGCTTTTGGAAGTCAGCATCGATGTACCTGTTGATGTGCTGCTCTTGGGAGTTAGTAAGGATGTGCCTGATGAGGAACTATTTTTAGAAACAGATGGTGAAACACTTGCCTCTGAACTAGTTTTGGAAGTTAACCCACCTGACACTGTCTCTGAACCAAGTTTAGAAGACAACAGTGGCAACTCTCCTTCTGAGCTTCCGGAGGAGCCCAACAAAGGCACCTCAATCTCTGAGATGCTTTGAGAAGCTGAGACTGACGAGCCTTCCAAAGCACTCTTTTTCGGTGATCCACTCTGTTGTCTGGAATCAGTAGACTGGGTCACATGACTATTCACACTGGACTTCAACAACGAAGAAACAATCGATGCTGAACCATGTTTCTCTGGAGCTTCTGATTCAGAAGCTTTTCCAGACCCTGCCGCTGTTACCTGAGAGGAAATGCTGCTGCTTTGGCTGGAGAGAGACCGATCTCCATCACCTGTAGAGCTATTCTGACTCGAGGTGCCAGAGCTTCGAGTGGAGTTCCCACTACTCTCTGATTTCGTAGATGGCCCTGTACATGCTGAGCTGTTTTCCTGCTGAGCTGACGCACGTTCTGTTTTGGCAGAAATTTTTGCATGATCTTGCTCAACGGCAGAATTGTTTTTTCCTTCGATGATTCGTTTTTTCGCTGGCTCTTCTACCCCTTCTAAAAAGAAGGAAAACAGACATGAGACTAAGTCTAGCTCATACATATCAGCTGAAAATTTACAAGACAGATACTTGTTAAAATAAAGACACAAGGCAAAAATACTTCAGGGCTAGTAATTTCTTTAAAAAGTGTGGAATAACTTCATTAATTTCTTAAAACAGTGTTGAATGGCATCATTTAATTTCTAATATTAAAAAGATCAACAGCATAGACAACATTTGACACTTGAAAATCTAAAGCAGTCAAAGGAAACTATCAAAATCAGGGCCTAAAACACACAGACACATAATTTAGGTTTCACATTCCAACTTGATTAATAACATTGTAAAAATTCTAGCTTGTTAAAAAATTAGTAAAAACAGTAATTCCTAATGATATCAAACTTATGTTCTAACTCCTATGTATGTTCACATCTATGATCTGCTAACCATTGCTACTCGATATCCCTCTTTTCTTCACCTTGGCAACCAGTTCGTCTCTTGTTGTATGGATTGGAGCATCTGTCACTTTGATGCCTTCAGCCATACTAAGTATTTTATCCATAACTTTTTGTGGGTACCTGAAAAAGAAAAAGACACTTTTAAAAGAGTGTTTTTTCTAAGCTCCGATTTCGGGGGTGCAAAAACAGGCCACAGGAACTGCATTTCCTGGTTGTAATCAAGAAAGTCTACCAACCGCCAGGAACTTTCTGTTTCCTGGAACCCCAGAAACAAACGCTCCAGGGCCCGGGAGGCGGGGTCCTTCCTCACCAATCCTTAAATTCGGCGTCCACCACGAGCGCCTTGTCAACCAACAGCCCCACCAGCCGCCCCCCCGCCCAACCGGACCAGGCTGTTAATCATGTCGGCTTTTGGCAGAGACGCCCTTCTCACCCTTAGAGGGCAGCCAGTCCCGCAGATTCCCGCGCTTCACAACTTCCCCCTCCCCGCGGAGGCTCCGGGCCCCAGTCCGGGGGCGGAAGACAAAACGCGGAGAGCTGGTCAGGGGCGCTTCCTCACTCACCGGCACCCGAGGAAGACGTGGTTCGCCCAAGCCATGGAGAAGGAGATGAGCTGCTGCAGCTGCCGATTGCGGGTCCCGCTCTCGGCGTCGGCAGCTTCCGACGCGTTAGCGGCGGCATCGCCGCCAGCCGGGGCCAGGTCCCCGGCGTTGCGGAGCAGAAACTCTCGGCGGTGGCGCCAGTGTTTGTCAGTCTCGCCGTCGCAGCGCAGCGCCTCCACCCAGGCGGCCACCCGCGGGTTCTGGCTCAGGTACTCCGACACCTCCTGCGCCATGTTGGGCCTGCAGGTCGCGGAGGCCGCGAGCAGACGCTGCTCCGGGAAAGAGGCGGGGTGCGCGGGTGCGAGCGGCCCTGTCACTGCGGCCTGCACCGGCGGCCCTCCACAGAACGCCCCTCGGGAGGCCCAAACGCCAAACAACAGCGCCTGGAGCAGCTGAACCGCCCACTTCCGCCCGCCGCCGGCTCCTTCCCTTTTATAACCTCGCCGCCGCCGAGCGCCCGCGCGTCCTTCCGGCGCGAGCCGGCTCTCCCAGGACGCTTTGCGGCGCCCGAGCGGCCGCGACGCCGCGGCCGGGCCCGGCGACGGAGGGGCGCCCGCGGGGGCGGAGCGGGGAGGGGGGCGTGGGCGGCAGCGAGCGCTCGCGCCTCCCCGCCCGCGAGGGCGGGCCGCAAGTGGGTTCGCCCGGGGCGCCCCGGTCTCCGGCGCCAACCTCGACGTTCTGGCTCGGCTTTGTGACGCCGCGCGCGCTCCCGCCGCCTCCCTCCTTCCCCCCCCTCCGCGGGCCCGCCGCGGCGCGGGGCGTGGAGGCCCGGAAGGTCGGGGCGGCGGAGGGCAGCCGGGCCGGGGCGGGCCAAGGGCCCGCGTGCCGCCGCGTCCTCGCGGACCCCAAGGCGCGGGTCGAGTGCGAGGTGTGCGCGCTTTGGCCCGCAGACGCTTGTTTTGAGCGGGGCCGAAATAAACAAAAGCTCGCCTCCATCTTTTGATCCTGTCAGGAAACAGCTTTCGGCGCTGTTTTGAATGTGGACGAGCGGAGCCTCCAGAGGCCGTCCCAGACGCGGGGCATTTAGGAATGTTAAAGAGTTAACCGTAATGATGATGATAGTAAGGTCAGACGATTAATCCAGTTCGCTGTGTGGCCCGTGGAGTCGTCTTTGAAACTCGCCCTTGCCCCCCAGGATTGGGTTTGGTTCCCCGCGCGCGACCCAGGCGATCCCGGCTTCCTCTCGCCTGGGGTTTTGGTCAAAAACAACTGCGCCGAGGACGATCGTAGTGTTCCCTTAGAGTAACAAACAGTAACCCCCAACTGGACAAATAGCCGGGAGGCAGCGGGGAAAAGTGCTCCAAACCTTTCCCCCTTAGAGCTTTTTTTTCTTGCCTTTTTTTTTTCTACTTTATAATGTCCACAGTTAGGAGCGCCGGCTTGCTTATCGTTACGCTTCCAATATCAGGTATTTGTGTTTTCAAGATCAGTACATTTTAGTAAGTTAAATAAGTGCTGTGCAATAACGATAAATTACGAAGTAAAAAAAATTTTCCTTCCATTACATGTTTGTGGACTTTGATTCAAAAATGCTTGAATCAGAATAAGCAAGCCAAAAAAGTAACTTAAATTGGATAAGATTTTTTTAAACGTAATTTATATACATGCTGGAATAATGAACGTCCAACTGTTACATGAAAATAATACTGCCCACTTTTCTGTTATACCAAGTGAAACTTCGTAAAAACAGGCACAAAGGAGTTTTGAAGCTTAGGATTTTGCTTCTAATTTTGTTCTTCTTTCCTCCTTTTCACTGAAAATTTCTGAAACTTGAGAGGGGTGAAAGGCCGCAGAAATCTGGCAATTTAAAAGACAAGAAATGTTATGGGTTTCGCTTTCATGAATTCTCTGGCATGGGGGAAGATGGCAAGTAAAAGAATCTGTGTGCGTTTTAAGCCAAGAATTTTCTCACTTATTTTCTTGTTCCCACTAGTCTTCTTCCTATGGGTTTCATTGCCTTGAGGGGAGAATAGTGCCTGAGTGCCAATATAATTTTTATTTTATTTTATTTTATTTTATTTTATTATGTAATGTTAATCACCATACAGTACATCATTAGTTTTTGATGTAGTGTTCCATGATTCATTATTTGGGTATAACACCCAGTGCTCCTCGCAGAACGTGCCCTCTTTAATACCCATCACCAGGCTAACCCATCCCCCACCCCCTCCCCTCTAGAACCCTCAGTTTGTTTCTCAGAGTCCATAGTCTCATGGTTCATCTCCCCCTCTGATTTCTCCCCCTTCATTTTCCCCTTCCTACTATCTTCTTTTTTAAAAAACATATAATGTATTATTTGTTTCAGAGGTACAGGTCTGTGATTCATCAGTCTTAAACAATTCACAGCCAATATAATTTTTTTAAAGTTAAAAGCAATATGGTCTGAAAGCTGAAGTACTTTTCAAGAGCCAGGGGCTTGAGAGAAAGAAAAGATACATTTTTTTTTTTATTATTAAAAAGTTGACTTTACATAGAGATTCAGGGCATAGACCATGGACCATGAAGTTAAGAAGAATGGTTTATATTTTAAAAAAGAGAAAAAGAAAAAGCCTTCTCACCCTATGGAGACAAATTCCTTTTTGGGCTGTGGGACGAATTCAGAGAAAAAAAGTTTAAGAAGAGAGTTTAGGAAAATTAGTGTGAATGAAGGAGAAGGTGAGGGGGGGAAGTGTTGGCTTGTTTGGACCTTTGGGAGAAGACAACCCATTTAGTGCCCTGAGCCACCTTGGGTTGGCCCTTAGAATAGAGTAGAAATGAGCACAGAGAGCGCCTTTTATTGCTCTGATAATCAACTGTCCCGCTCCCTTCGTTCCCCGCCAACACACGCACGCGCACACACACACACACGTCACTCACAGGTCCTAGAGGAATCCAAAAAGTTCCATAGTGAGAGAGGAATGCTGAGGTGCCTCCCAGGCAGCATGATCCAAATGGGGCTAGAGGTTTGGATGGTCTGGGCTGCAAAGGAGGCAGCAACTAGTTCTCAACGAGTCATCAGGCCCCTGAGATCCACGTCGGGCCAATCAATAGGGAAGAGCCCTCAAATTCCCCACCAGTGACCAATGTGTACTGCTTGTACTGGGAGATCAGACCGTTCACTCTCAGTAGATCCTACAGGGAAGAAAACTTGGAAAGAGAGAAGTACAGAGATGATGCTAGAATGATACCCAAGCCTCTCCCCCTACCACTGCCCTCACAAGAAACCTGATCAGAGGAGAACAGGGAGAGAATCCTAATAAACTGAGAAATATCCACCACCACCCCCCAAATTGTGTTTTAAGCCACAAGTGGCTGAATTCTCTTAATTTCATGAAATTAAGTTTTCCACTACAAGGAGAAGCACATCCATTAAAACTGCAGCTACATTGTGTCTCTGAAGAAATCCAGTAAAAACTCCGGTGGCAAGCTGGCCTTTGTGCAAGATGGCTCCCCCATGGAGCCACCTGAAAGATGGCTCCCGCTCTTGAGGGTGACTGCAGAAACAAGTGGAGGACTGAGGAAGCATTTGGCATGAAGGGGTACATGTGGAGTGCGGTGGTCTGTGTAAAGCAAATGCTCTAATCCGTGTCACAGCTGAGGTTATAGCTTGACCTGAGAAGTATTCCACACTGAAGAGAGAACTTTTACACCAAACAATCCATGAGGTCACAAGTTAGGCAAATCACAGTGAAAAGATGAGGTGTCCTGCAAGTCAAAGAAGAGAATGTTTTAAGAAGACAGTGGTCTCCTGCGTCAGTAGCTGGGGGAGAAACCAAGGAAGAGGAATATTGCTATTAACGGATGTAGAGGTTGGAACCATTGGTGAGCTTAGCAAAAGTTGGAACCATTGGTGAGCTTAGCAAAACCATTTGGTGGAGCGATGGGGACAGACTCAATACTGGAGTGAGTTCATGAGTAGGAAAAGGAGACGTTTGACTGTGAAGGAGAGAAGAGAGGGGAAGCTGGAAAGGGTCTTGGTGTCCAGATAGCTTTTAGTAAGATGCGAGTAGCTTGAGCTTGTGCATCTGTGACTGGGAGAAGCCAGTAGAGGGAGAGTTTGGGGATACTGAAGGAGAAAAGGGTAACAATTTCGGAAGGAGTGGGAGGGGCAGGGATTCTACGCACAGGTAGAGAGATTAACCTCAGGTTGGAGGAGAGACACTTCCCCCATTTTCAAAGAAAAAAAAGGGTTTGTAGGTTTGGCGGTGGGAAGCTGAGATGGAGCCCATGTGATAGAGAATGCTGGAAAAGGACATTCTAGATAGGGAGCAAGCTGCCCAGATGAACAGAGTTTTTTAAGTTCTGGCCAATTTAAAAAAATTATAAATTATACAGACTCCCAGAAATGAAACTTTTAAGGGGAAATAAAAGGCATAAAATGAAGGTGAAAAATCTCTCCCCCTTCTCATCGATGCCTGGTCCCACTCCAAAAATAACAGCATTTATTTACAAAGTTATGTCATCTTCTATCTTTGTGTCTTTGGATGGTTATTTTCATAACTCTAAGTTATATGCTAATGTTTCTATTTCTTGATTTTTCAACTTTAAGAAGTACTTATTCCACCTTTGAATGTGAAAGGTGGTAAGTCCATATCACTTACACTCTCCCTTCCTTCTCCCAACTGTTGTTAGTTATATTTTTATTATTCTTTTGTTGGCCACCTGTCACACATTTAGGTATTATACTTAATCTTTAATGTCTTAGTCTCTCAATTTTAGACAATCAGCTCTTGATTCCCAAGTCATGTAAGAAAATTCTGGAAGATGGGGCGCCTGGGTGGCTCAGTCGGTTAAGCGTCTGCCTTCGGCTCATGCTCTCTCTCTCTCAAATAAATAAATAAAAAGAAATTTATTGGAGCCCCAATAAAATCTTAAAAAAAAAAAAGAAAAGAAAATTCTAGAAGAGAGGCCATAAGGTAGATATTTGGGCATTCAAAAAGTCTGGCTTGGGATGCCAGGGTGGCTCAGTCCATTAAGCGTCTGCCTCCAGCTCAGGTCATGATCCCAGGGTCCTGGGATTGAGTCCCCGCATTGGGTTTCTTGCTCAACGGGGAGCCTGCTTCTCCCTCTGCCTGCCTCTCCTCCTGCTTGTGCTCTCCCTCTGACAAATAAATAAATAAAATCTTTAAAAGAAAAAAAAAGAAAAAAGAAAAAGCCTGGCTTTCAGAGAAAATGCAATTGCTAGTGGTAACTTGGCAACTGATGGAAAATTCTGAAGTGTTCCTGTTTACCTGCAGGATTTGTGCCATGTGTTTTTACATTAATCCTTAACATTAATAAATGTCAATCAATTTGTTTGCTGCTTTGAGAATTAAATAAGATTGTGAAGTTACATCCTTCATGGGGGTTAGTTTCCAAAATCAACATGTAAATGAAAGATATGATATGATTCCACTTTACCTTTTTCTGTGGCAAAACAAT